GGCCTCTCTTTCACTTAGTGTTTTCTGTTTTACAGCAAATCCTTCTTTATTATCATTATTATTATTTCAGGCGGGGGGATATCACCCCTGTCACAATACATAGGAATTTCTTTAAGAGACTTGAAAGCAAAAAAATATGAGAAGTAATTACTTAGCTGTTTGGGAATTTTAAGTAATTTATTACTTCATATACAATCATTTTTTTAAACGTTGAGAATTTAAACTTTTTTTTTAAGTGAGAAAAAAATTGCAGGGCATGAGAATATATAATTTTAAAGATATTTAGTAATAATTTTGAACAGTAATAATATAAACTATTTCATTTTCATTTGTTTTATATGTCATATTTGCAGATCTTGTTTTACAACGGTTTACAGGGGATAATCATTCACTGCATCTCAAGTCCTATAGTTGTTCATTTTCAGCTATTCTTAGTCATAGCATGAGTATATTGAACAAAATGTAATATTTGTATGTTTTTAAAATTTAAATGTGTACCTTATGTAGTTACAGTGGGGGGAAATAAATATTCGTACAGTTGAAAAATTGTATTTTTATAAATGTAAATGCCTTAACTAAAACAAATTTTGATACATTTTATGTGTAAAGATACATTTTATTAAAAAAATAGTAATAAACTTAATTCTTATTCTAACAGAAATTAATGCATTTTTTTTCAATTTAACTGATGAAAAAAGTATTTGTACAAAACAAAAAAAAGCATATTAACTTAATTTAATACTTTGTGGAATATCCTTTATCGAGTTCAACAGCTACCAGTCTATTCCTGTACGTCTCCACTAATGATTTGCACACATTGAGTGGTATTTTGTCCCATTCTTCTTGGCATATTGTCTTCAAATTCTTGATATTTGTTGGTGCTCTTTTCCCAGTTTGAATTTTCAAATATCGCCATAAATTCTCGATTGGGTTCAAGTCTGGGAACTGATTTGGCCATTGCAAGACATCAACGTTACTTTCAGCTAACCATTTCCTTGTAGATCTAGCGGTATGCTTAGGATCATTATCCAGTTGGAAAACTTAATCAGGAGGTAGCCGAAGTCTCTCAGCAGAACACATTAAATTGTCTTGCAGGATTTTCTGGTAGCTTTCGACATTCATCTTGCCATCTATTATTGATATTCTGCCAACACCTTTTGCAGAAAAACAGCCCCAGATCATGATACTGCCACCACCAAACTTTACAGTTGGCAACATGTTCTTTGGTAAGTAGGCTTCACCGTCCTTCCTCCACACATGATTTCGATAATTATGACCAAACATCTCTATTTTAGTTTCATCTGTCCATAGTACTTTTTCCCAAAACGAATATTCTTTATCCTTATGCTCTCTAACGAATTTTAGCCTAGCATCTCTGTCATTTCAAGAGGAGTGGAGTCTTCCTTGGGATGTGTGATTTCAAACTGTTTTTGTGTAGTTCATTACTTATTGTACGCTTGGTTACTTTAATCCCTAATGCATGCAGATGTTCCTGCAGCTCTTCTTGGGTAACCTGTGGATTTTGTTGGATCTGGCGTCCTAATATCCTTGCTGATTTTAGAGAAATCTTCCTCGGAGCACCTGTTCATCTTCGGTTTTCGATTTTGTAAAGCTTGTCTTTTCATTGATTTATTTGTTTGGTTACATCTTTTTGTGGATAAAATAAACTGATCACTGATTTCCAACATGTAATATATTGAAATTGTTTTGTTTTATTTAATCACTTGATTCAAGTTGCTGAGTATGTATCAAATGTTGTTTTGTAAAACTAATAAAATTCTTTTATATATTTTTCTTGCTTCATATATATATTTTTTGTTTCAGTTTTGGACAGTGAATGCTTATTTAATATAATTAGTTGTATTTTACCAGAAAATAGCAAACTCTGTACTAGAACTTACAAAGTACTGTGCTAACACTATGTACATTTTAGAATTCTTCATCTTCATATCACTGAAGGAAGAAAGGATATAAATCATTTTGAAATAGTTGCTAGAAGAGTGAATTTAAAAAAGATTTAGTTATGAATGAAAAAAATGGCAATACCTTTAGTAGTTTTATAGTTAACAGCATAACTGAAATAAACTTTATAAAGTGACACTATAATCCTATTAAAATATGAATTTAAAATAAATCAAGTCTACTAAAAGATTGGGTGTTTGCATTCTATCAGGGTTAACAATGAAGGTTTCTTTTTACTGTTATTACCAGATATTGGAGAGTGGGTTGTCTAAGTGCTCGCTTTTTTTTTCCTTCTTTTTTTTTTGTCAAGTGTTGCGGCATACCAATGACAAAATGTTTTGTCAAGATGGAGCCTAGTACAGGAAGAAGTAGATTCATGCCTTACATTAGTACAAAATAAATATAAGCATCATAAGCTGTGATAGTCAAAATTCAAATTGGATTTATCAATTTTGTTTTTCAATGCTGCTTATCATTGTCACTTTGCATGAAGTTACATACTAGAAGTATAAAATTTGTTTGGGAATATAGATGAATAATTTTTGTTTTGGAAATATTGAAAAGCAGTTAAATTTAATTCGATTACTCAAATAAGATTCAATGCTAAACTTTGGATAAGGTTAGAATTGCTACAACCAATATTTAGTTAAAGGAAATTGCTTTTTTTTTTTTTTTTTTATATAATAAGGTCTTTGTAAAATGTAATATTTAGAGACAAAAAGAAGAACAGTAAAGCAAAAGAGGAATGCTTTTTCATAAAAATGTTTTTTCTTTCATGAATTTCTCAAAAATCAATATTAGTTCTTGAATTAGACTGCTATCTTCATCTTTTTGTTTTGATCATCATTTGGTTTCTTAAAGCTGGCAAAGGTTCCAATAGCTTTTTTCTTAATAAATATCTTCAAAATAAGGAATTTTGTTTAAAGGTTACCAGATGTTCCATCCATATTTATTTATATTGCAAAACACTAGTCTAAAACAAGTTCTCAACCAGTAGGAGGGGAGAATCTCTGGGTTTGAGTGTGTATGTATGTATGTGTGTGTGTGGGAGGGGGGGTACTTTTTTCTTATTTTTTATTACAGAATTTTGTTTATTAATTTGCAATACCCCAGAATTCTATTGAACATTTTGTTTATTGAAGTATGTGTCAGTTTATTTATTTAATAATTAGTTATGAATTAAAATGAATTACTGTATATGTATTAAAGTTTAAAAATCCATCAACTATTGCTATTAAATTTGTAAAATTCCTCTATAAAAATAATCCATGTAAATGTATATGTACTAATATAGAAAATGATGATTTTTCGATAATATATGTATATTATTTGAAATTCCTTTTGAGTTGGACAATTTTGGTAAGGTGGGGAATGACATTCTGACATATGGGAGGGAAAAGGATGCATTGGGTCAAAAAGCTTGAGAACCACTGGTTTAAAAAATGCTTTTACTACCAAGTACCATAATACATTCTGTAAATGATAGAATAACTAAGCATGTGCTAGAAAAGTTCCCAGGACATTTATTTTAAGTATTGGAAAGAATATATAAATGTCTAGATAATTTGTTTTTAATTTTATGATACAAAAATGGTAATATTGAAAATTTATTATTTTTCTAAATGAGCATGAAAAAAATCAACATAAGATATATACTACAAGAAAAGAATATACTTATCAATGAAGTTACTTTAAAACAGTAAATCAACTGCTTTGTTAGGTATTTTTTTTTTTTTTTTTTTCAAGTTGTTGGCAGTTATCTAGCTAGTTATATCCTAATGCATTCTACTCACTGAATCATGATGAATTTTTAATAATAATGAAAAATAGTTAAATCTTTAACTTATTTTGAATACATTGTAAAATGTTTATTTTTTATTGGTTGCATAATATATTGTGTGCAGCATAAGTACTGTTACAAAAGAAAAAGCTAATAAATTATTATGTCAGCATACAATTTTAACACAAAGTAATTATTAATCTGCTAAATGACAGCAGAAAATCTCATTCAATATGGTTCCCACATCAGTCTTTTGGGGATAATCACTGATGGTGGCACACAGTTTCCATAGGTATTTTGTTTCATACTCTCTTCAATTTTGCATTCAAACTTCAATGTTGTGCTGAGGAGTAGAACAGGACTCACTTCCCAGAACTGCCCATAAACAATAGTTAAGAGCATTGATATTTGGTGATGAGGGAAGCAGGAACTGACTGACAACTTGTTGAAAGAACACAATCATTTTGATGATTAAACGTCTGCTGAACAGTGAACAGTTTCTCAACAGTGAAAATATTTTGCAGCATGTCATCACGAATCTATTTTAGTAACTGCTAACTTCTTTGAAGCCTCTTTTTTATTATGGCTGCTGAAAGAAGCTTTTTCTTGTTTATTTTGTAGGGCGACATCTCTAGATCATTTTGACATAGTCTTCACATGGTTTTTCACCTTTTTTTTTTTTTTTTTTTCTACCTTTTTTTTTTTTTTTTTTTTTTTTTTCACTTTTTTTTTTTTTTTTTTTTCAATTTTTTTCAATTTTTTTCACTTTTTTTTTTTTTTCACTTTTTTTTCAATTTTTTTTCACTTTTTTTTCAATTTTTTTTCAATTTTTTTTCACTTTTTTTTCACTTTTTTTTCAATTTTTTTTTTAATAGCTTTGATGTTCTGGTGGTGCAAAGACATCTTGGCTTCTTTGAGGGAGGAAGTCAATCATCTGTTCTTTTGATAAACATTCTCTTGATTCCATGTTGTTTTCCAGTTTTAAAAATCTCAAGTGGAGTCAGCCTATTTTCATGTTGCTCAATTATATGCTTTCTTTTAATTTTGATACATTGTTGTCAATAGATACTAAAACACTTTGAAAAAAACAAATAGTATATGATGTTGGGTGACAATGACCAATAATGTAATGACTAAAAATTTAGAAGTAGAATTCATTTAAAACTTTGTAACAGCAGTAGAAATTTTGTGAAGCAAAAATATTGCAAATAAATGTATTTGGAAAAACTTTTTTTTCATTTTCTTTTTCTTTTTACAGATTACAAGAGAACGAGAGGATCTACTCTACATTGATCTTAATGACAAGTGCTTGCAGGAAGAGCTACAGACTGAAAAATTTACAATATTGGTAAATTTCACTTGAAGTTAAAAAAAAGAAATCAAAACTTTTCAACTTTTGTATGTTATCACATCCTGTTTAGTAGTAGGCATTTATATCAGCATAATCCAGTGAAAGGAAAACAGTACTAGAATCTTTGAAGTGATCTTACTATAATAAAAATAGAATCCTAAGATCATTGTAAGCATATAATGCTACTACATTATCTATATGTATAATTCACATGAGCAATAATGGTACTTCAATAATGACCACATGTCATTTTAAAAATTTATTTTTTGAAAATATTTTTATGAATGTGAATTTCAGAACAATAAAGATTATTAAAGATTTGTATTTATAATGATTTTTAAATTTCTATTTCTGTAAATTTATATAATGTAAACAGAAGGCATGAATGTACATTTTATATATAAAATAAATTTAAAATGTTAACTTTGTCATAAATGAACAGAGGAGGAATGTTTTTAAATTATATTTCTTTCTAAGTTTGTTACTATTATTTATCACAGATGAAAATTTCAAACAGGTACTAGGTGTTATCTCATTGCATCTTCTTAATCTACATGATTAAAGAAACTCAGCATTTTTTATTTCATCAAGATATCTTAAACCGTTTAATTTTGGAAGATTTTTTTTTTTATTTTTACACATGTGCTCGAATTTTTTTGTCTGTTATGAATTAGGACCATATTTGGACTCCTATATTTTAAAAAGCAATTAACAACAGTTAAAATTATACTAGCCTGTTAGGTACATAATGAAGAAATTAATAATAAAATTACAGATAGTATCATTGCATATTTCTTAAATAAATTCAGTCTGAATAGGCAAATTTTATAAATCAAACCATCTGCAACGATGTGCAAACAACTCATAACCTGAGGTTTGGCATTTCATAAAACTGGAAATAAGACCGACATTCATCCCAAATTTCAAATATCACATTATTATTATGCCTGTAACATGCCTAATTTTTGGGGGAGTGATAGAATGGTTATCTTCTGGATTATTCCACTTCAAAATTGAAAAAAATGCTTTTTAACCCTTTGTCACAAGGTATTTGAAAGGTCGATTTTAAACCAAAGAGGAGACTTGCTTGAATTGTGTCATAAAATGAATACTTCTTACAGTAGAAACACCAAATGTCACATCTAGCCATGTCTGGAGGTGGTCTTTCCATTTATCATGGTTAAAATGACCTAAAATCAATGGATTAGAATGTATATGAAGCAGATGTTGAATAAGTACGACTCTGACTCAACATGTACAATTTCTGGGCTGTAGAAATCATCATCTACTTTAATTACCTGTCCAGTAAAAAACATATCTTCATATGTCACAGCAACCCAAGCCCCCTCTGGCCAAAATTTTGCAAAATCACCAAAATGTCTCTATTTTCAAACTGTAATGTTCCTTGCACACTGTGGTACATATGAAGATAAATAAGATAGAAACAAAGTTCATGAAATAAGCTTTTATTTGGTATGCATTATGTTTTTATGGAGATATTGAATGAAATAACACAGTTGAATATATGCCTTTTTTAGCATTTAGTTAAGAATTTCATTGCCTGTAAGCTGAGTTCTGCGATACCTACTATTATATAAATTGAAATTATTGTTACAATTTCTTCAACATTGTATAAAAGTTTAAAGATGATTATATTTTCTCACTGAACCATTTTTATTTGTATGTTCATAAGTTTTATGCCTATAAATCCGAAAGTTCCATATGGTATATCAATATAAGCTTATATTTTCTGAAAGTTTAAAGTAGATACAGATCTGAAACCACTAAATTATTGTATCCGGTGTTTACAAAGTATGGCATTTCATTTTTATATCAGCTTTAGTAATTTTAAAATAATCATTTTGTAATGTCTACTTATTGAGAATGTTTCTTTAGATGTGGGAAGCAGTGTATATTGCATAAATTTTTTTTTCATTTGTTAGAAGCAATACTGATTAAGGTTGGTGGGGGGTCCTTTGTTTTTTTCCCCCCCAACCAATCTTCTTGTTTCCTAGTTATAGCATTTTACATTTTCAATTTTATCCTTTCTTTTGTAAATAACACATTTCTTTTTGTTATAACAAGTGTTTGGTTGTGAAAGAAAGGAATAACAAGGATTAAGTTTTCAACAGCATGTATTCATTAAATATACATAATATATATTTTAGTTTTTAGAAAATTGAAAAAAAAAAAGGTTAATGTTGTTTTCAGTTGCTGTTTGTCAGGAAAGTGATTAAGTGCAAGGTGTTGCCAGGAGTTGACTGATTTCTTGGTTTGGCTGAGGTCACAGGATAAATCCAGAGTGGATCAGCCATTGGTGGGGTTTGATGCACACCTTTCTTTAATGTTGGTTGAAATCTGTGATAGTGTTGATGGGTTGGTGTTCATATGATATCAAGATGTTAAAGCTAAACTGCTTGGTAAAGTGGGTTGATTTGTGGTAGTTGCTGAGGTGATGGTGGTGACAACAAGGGATTAGGTGTAGCCAGTAGGCCTGTAGTTGGTCAAGTAGAATGTTTCAGTTTGATTAAAGTTGAATGTTGTATCCATGAAATGAGGTGACATAGGTGATAGCAAGGGAGGCCTGTAGTGGGTTGAACAGAATGTTCCGTTGGATTTGGTATCAATAAAATGGGCTTGTGATGGTGAGGGCAGCCTGTAGTGGATCAAGTGGAATGTTTCAGTTGGATTTGGGTTGATTGTTGTGTCAATGAAACTGGGTCACAGTGGTGATCACGAAGGAGTCCTGTAGTAGGTGGTTATGGCTGATCATCAGAATGTCTGTTTGGTGTTGATAAGGGAGACCTAGAGTTATGACAATGAAGAAGTGTTATAAATCACAGTGGTTGGTGTGTGGGGGATATGGTGGTGTTGAAGTCTGTTGGCCACCTTCCATGTGTGAAGAGTCATTTGAGATTAGTGAAGCTTGGGTGAGGTCATGGTTGTGATGAGCGCCTGCCTGCGTGTCGGCAGGTGAACTTTCAGCTTGTAACTGTGTTAATCATTACCAGAGGCCTGCTTTTAAGCCAATCTGGTGGTTCCCAGGGTCATCTCTTTTTCTGGCAGGAACATTCGTGATTGGTTATTGTATTGCAGGGATTTATTTCATGGACTGGATGTGATACTCAGAGCCCATTTTTTATTTTGTGTTCTGCCTTCTTGGCATTCACATCCCACCAACATGCAGAGTATAACATTTTCAATTAGAAATATGTTTCAAGTAATATACTTTTGTTAATGTAAATAAGAATGTTTTACATTTATTTGCTATTTGTTTTAAATATAGTTTAGTCTTTTTCAGAATGAGACACAGGATTTAAGTTGTTTATTATTTGCTCTCAGTCATTTAAATAATTTTCTTTAAGTCAATGATGTTACTTTTCATGAAAACAGCATCAGAACTTCAGTCTCTAGATAAAATGTTTAATTTCTTGTTGATGAGTACTTGCTTTTAAAGTCTTGTGATATGTCAGGGGATAGCTTTTTATTAAAAATCATATTAAATATCAAATATACAAGTTGATCAGTGAAAAAAAATTCAATGATTGGTTATTATTTAAGAATAAATAGATGTTCCTTTTTAGATTGAATGAATTAACTTTTTTTATGCAATTACAATATCTATAGCAAGTGTGAATGTATTTGGGAATTTTTGTGCTTTTATGAAATTGATCATCAAAACAGTGTATTATGGACTGAAAATAAATAAAAATAAAAAGATAGTGTGATAATGTTATCACAAAAATTTTTTCAAGGAAGTTTTTCTAGATTGCTTTTATTATAATTATTACATCAAAATTGATTAAAATGTGCTGTGAAATCTTGCATGCATTAATTTCAACTCTTATTAGGTAAAATGACATCTTGTTATTTGAAGAAGACTTCAAAAGTAACTAATAGCGACTTCTCTTGAAAATGGACAAAATTTGCCATCATGGTATTATCAAGTACTTGCAGAAAATGGTTTAGCCTACATGGGCATTTGTGATGACATGGTTGCTACATTAGGGGATGACACGCCAGCTTTATCAATGGTGCAGAAGCAGGAAGTTGAATTGGGGAGGGGGTATTTTCTCATTTTCATTATTTTTATACTAATTTAATATTATTATTTTATATATTTATTTTTCTTTTCATTTTCTTTTCTTTTTTTCTGTTAGTAAAATTCTCTTTGGTCTTGTCTTGTAGAGTGGCCGAGATCTTGGTGGAGCTGCTATTGCTCTTTTCACTGCACGCCTTCACTTCCCTCCCTTGACAACTCATCAAAATGTTCTCAAGGCTCTCATTCATCAGTTGGATGCTGCTTTAGAAAGGTTAGTCTATTAAGAATAAAAAGTTATATTTTCTTTTAGACAAGTGGATTATTTCGCATAGACATTACATATAAGCTTTTAACCAAACTATCAGATATTCACTTCTTTTATATGTTTCAAAACTGAAATAACTGTGTACATGCTAAAAACAAACAGAGGGAGTCAACAAATTAAGAGAGAAAATCCTTGTAGCAGACAACATTAAATAGAAAGAAAAAAAAAAAAGAAACCTATGGCAAATTTAGTTTATTTATACAAATGGATAAGGAATTAAAAGAATTAAGATTTACTTACATGTCTATATTTATAGGCTTTAACATAATAGTCATGGGATTGCTTGTTTGATTCTTAAAAAAAAATTAGAAATAACATGTAGCTCCTCCTTTTGTTAGTGGCTAAATGATGTGACATGGATTCTATAAGGTGCTGAGTTGTTTGTTGGGTGTGTAATGAGGTGCTCTTAATTGCCTTCTCTTTGACTGTTATTCTATGTAAAAAAAAGTTAACCTCGTGGATTATCAATAAGTCCATACAGAAAACCTTCTGATTCATACTAAATGCATGGTGTTTGTTGTCTGTTATTACCAAATGTGTTTACATGGTGTCAGCAGTAAATTATGCAGAAAAGTAACAAAGAAATTTAAAAAAAAAAAAGGAAAAATGTCTGGGAATAGTTTGAAACAGTTACAAAGCAGTTATTACTGAATATTCATAACATGAGGCAGAACCACGTGGAGATATAATTAGGCATATCCATTTGCAAAAAATTAAACTCTTCTCATTTGCTTGTATTACCAGTGTGTATGTAGGTCCTTTTCTTTATTTACAAATTGGTATTGTTTCAAAAAAATCACATGATGTCTAATAATGCATTTGAACCAGTTGTGTGTTGGACAGCCACAAATTTAATAAAAGCATTTGCAACACTTGACATCACACTTCCCAACAGACCAGGTATACATAAACTGAAATCCAAGGTTGACACAGAAGCTGAAGGAAATACTCTTTCTTTGAGAATTTTCCAGTAGATGTTTCCAGAAAATATTAATCCATATGGACAGCCACTACCCATTGCAATGCACAATGAAACAGTAGTACTGACTGCATACAAATTTCTCAGGCATGCCTCAACATAGGTCTATAAGCCTACAGTGTATATATAATGGAAAACATTAAAGTTCTTTGTTGTGATCACAGAAAGACCAACCATATTGGGCTTGCCCTCCTTGAGAGATCTAAAACTAGTGATGCTACATTTCAAAAAACGAAATATACACAAATTAATTCCACAAAAGAACTGATGGAAATGTACCCTGACCAGTTCAACCAAATTGATGATTTTGCTGAGTAGGACCACATTGTCCTGAAACCAAGGAGTTGTCACTCTATAATCCATGCACACAGAAAATGTCCCATCCACATAAAGATTAAAGTGGAGTTAGATGATATGTAGAGACAAAGGATCATTTGTAAAGTACACAAATCAACAGACTGGGTCAACAGTATTGTGTGTGGGCACAAAAGCACTGCCAAACTTCAGTTATACCTAGATCCAAAAGATCTGAACAAAGCCATCAAGCCCTGTCATCACAAACACCCAATATAGAGGAGGGCTCAACCACAAGCTCACAGGTGCTGAACTTTTTGCAAAGCTAGATACAAAAAAACGATGTTGGTTTGTCTAGCTCAACCCAGAGTCACAGCTGTTGACAACATTCAATTCTCCGTATGAAAGCTACTGCTTCCAAAGAATGCCTTTTGATCTTATGTCCCAGGATGTATTTCAACAAAAAATGGACATGGTCTTGGAGAAATGAATCCTTGGGGATAATAGACGACATGGTTGTCTATGTAAAACCAAAGCTGAACATGATCAAAATCTACACAACCTGATGAAGACTGTATAACATGAAGGACTCATATTTAGCAGCAAGAAATGTGCAGTAAATAAGACAAATTTCTTTGGATCCATTTATGACAAGAATGGAGTCCACAGCAAGATAGATGAAATCAAATTGTGGCATACTCTGACAAACATCACAGAACTCCAGAAGGTGCTAGGAATCAGCATATACATGGCACCATTCATTCCTTGACTTGCCTCATAGCTCCTATGAAAGAATTGCTGAAAAAGACCCTGTATAAGTGAACAAGCAGTTATCAGAAGTCTCTACAGCAAGTAGAAAGTGATCACAAACCTCTGGAGATGAGTCTCAAGAACCTTACCACAGTATCTCCTCATCTTTAGAGAATGCTATTATGCTTAGACGGATATGACATAAACATCACATATCATATAGGTAAAGAGATGATACTTGCTGATGGTCTTTCTAGGTTCTCAAACAAGAGAAAGAGTGCCATTGACCTTGACATTAAAATTGATTTTGTCCAATACTCAACTGAGAATTTGACATAGATCCGTCAAGCAATATGCACTGATCCAAGTACGTATGAGTTGAGAGATCTAATCCTACAAGAGTGGCCTAAATCATGTCCGAGTACAAAATCAAAATACTGGGAAACGGATACTTGCAGTTTTTAAGCAAGCCTGTGTTGAACCAACCAGACACCAACAAGATAATATATTTGCAGAAACCGATGACATTTGAAAAATTAGGCTGCTTCTGTGATGGAATGTCAACTGCATCTTTCCAGAAGATGCTTTCAGAGAGATCAATTCTCCACCTTCAAACCAATCATTAAACCTAAACAAAACACCAATGTTCCAACTGCCCCCAAAACCTCTAATCTACACACTAGGCAGGTCCCACAAAAACTCTAATAACAACATGCTCTGCACAACCACAGGATCAGGTTGTATCATAAGACCTCCTATGAGATATGATCAGTGAAATAATTAAGGACATAGTGTGAAAATGAAATGAATGAATGAATTATTAAATAAGTAAATTTTCATAAAGTGTGAGGATATAATGATATTATCTTAATTACCTCCCTTCGACTGTCACTCTGTTTAAAAAAAAGTTAGCTTTGTGGATTATCAATAAAATAGTACAGAAAACATGGCTGACTCATACTAAGCGCATGTTTGTCTGTTATTACCAAATATGTTTACAGAGTGTGGCTGCAGAGAATTATTGAATTCCTTACATGTCCCATGCACGTCCAGTAGTAATTGATGCTGTGATATTTATGATAGTAGCAATGTTGGTCAACAGCTACGAAACCTCATGGAGTGTAGTATATGCTGTACAGTGCTGGTTGATTGAGGGATTTAGTGACTCTGCTATTAAATTGGATTGTGATTTGATGCAATGTTCTCTTTTATTGGGTGGTTACAATCCTTGTCAATTATCAGCAGTCAATCTTGCATCATTTGTGGATGGCTGCAGTTTTCATATCTATCAGGAATTCATATATTCTTGTTATACCCCTTTGTTCCTGTTGCCTGAGAGAAACATAGGCTAGTTGCCATCTTGGAGTGTTCTATCTTTCTGGCCCCAGTCCTCATTCTGCATTCCCATTGCTGACACACCTACACCTATTATTTTACATGTCATTTAGCTTAGTCCATTCTTATAAATGAGGGAGGGCAAAACTATCTAGTGTACTTTAGCACTTCATTTTTTTAGTGTCTATCTTTAATCAATACAATTTAGAGTGATGATGTGTGTCTGTGAGATGCAAGTATTTAGATGGGGAATAAGACAAGTGAATGAATACAGAAAAAAAGGAAGTTTTTGAACAACAAGGTTGCAGGAGGAGGAGGAAGAGAAAACTACTTAAGGTAGAAATTAGCTAGTTTTGTATAAGCTATTTGAATCAATTAAAAAATACTCATTGCAATCAAAAACTTTTACTATTACAAGTAGAAAATTTGTATAACTCTATCCTTCAAACTGAAATTATTTCAAATTCATTTTTATCCAATAGTGTTGTGCGGATACAACCATATCAGTAAAGTATTACATGATTATCAACTTACCTAAGAAAATTACTAACTTTTATTATAATTTACTTTGATTGTAATTTTTTCCGTTTTCATAAAAATACTAAAATGCCTAGATAATTGTGATCAATATACACTCTTGTATTAAAGATTATTTTCATTCAATTAATTAAGGAAGTTACATAAAATTACTTTATTTAAAATGGCTTTTAGTTTGTCGAATGATTTTGACATTCACTGGCACTCTTGCTGTTAAATATCAGTGTTTCCTAACATTTTAATTACATGCTGCAAAAATTTTAGTATTAATCAATTAAGCCTTAATATGACCCAATCTTTTTGTTCTTCCCACTGAAATTTCAAATTGCAGCCCACATTCAGAATTACTGGTTGAGATCATTATTTGTATCTAATTTGTCATTTGTTCAAATTGGCAGATTATCAATTTTTGTCAAAAAAAACAAATAGCCTAATTTAAAACTTGACTATATTGAAAAGATTGAGTGATAAAAATTAAATATTGTTTTATTATATGTGCTGGGAAAATTTCAATACATATATAAAAAATGTGGATTAAGTGAATTGATGAAATTAATTTTACCTGAATCAAATAAAAAAATTAACACATGTAGAAGCAATCAAAAACAAACAACATTTATACACTATTTACATTATTCGGACTATTATCTTCATCTTTGTCGCCATGTTTATCACAATGTTTTGGTTGTTGTACACTCCGGCCTTCTTCAGGTGGTTGGAATGTCAAACTGAACCCTTTATTTTGCTTACTGGGGTAGACTGTTCTAGTTCCACGTGCCATGTCTAATGGATGTGAGTTATCTCCTGTTAATTCCCCTCTGAAAGTTCTCCACTGCCTTAACCAGGTATTGAACTCGCACTCTTTGGGTCCTGTCACTCGATCTAACTAATGCCTTTATCCACTGTGCCATGTGTCATTGAGTGTATGAATTTCTGGAAATTATAAACCTAATGTCTTCAGCACCCATTTTTTTACCAGAGCTCATATTGCAATTTTTTTTTTTTGTTATCGCTTTTCTCTGGCACTCCTTATTACTGGTTCCCATATTGTATTTATTTCTATGCTTGGTTGGCCCAGGAGATTTTTGTGGCCTAGCATATGTGCTGATTCCTTAAGTTTATGAATTTTCCAATGATGTTCTTTGTCTGATCTCAACTTGATCCCACAGAGGGCGGGGATCTCCCTTTTGTCTCTGTATGTGGTCAGCCATGCCTGATTTTCCATTTCCCAATAGTCCGAATAATGTAAATAGTGTACATAATACCTCATCTCAGAAATATAGACAGATACTGAAACAACATTTATGCATGACTTAACTGAATCTCAAGGGCATGCAAATGATTATATGTTGAATTATTCTATGTAATGAAAAAAAATTGTTTGGTTCTTGGATTCAATTTTACTAGAACATTTAAATGTTGCCCTAAGATGTTTCAATTATTTTTTTATTTTAATAAGTATGATTGTAGTATGCATAATAACTGCAAAAGTGAGATCTTGAGTATAAAAAAAAACAGGATTATAAAATATTCCACTAAATTTAGTGTAACTTTTATCTTGATTATTTTTACTATCTTTATAATATTTTTAAGAGAAAAGCAAGTTCATTGTAATTTGATGGCTCTTTTGCAAGTGAAAGTTTTGTAGTTATCTTCACAAACTGTTGAATTCCATTTAATAATGCATGTAACTAAAATGTCAAATTTAAATAACTGAATAGCAATATCAGTAGCTATTTGTATTAACTAGTGTCCTGGACGACAACAGTTTGGGGTTTTATCTGGAAACAAAATTTGATATTTATGTTTGAATTTTGAGATAAGAGTACTTAGCTGAATCGCTATGTCAATAATAACATCTGTAACAATCAAAGATGAAAACAATAGTTTGAATATTGATTTGATATGTTCATTTAAATCAAATTTAAAACAAGCATCAGCAGTTTTCTAGATACCTTTTATGGATGACATGATGATATTGAGTGCCTTTTATAAAATATCTTTGAGATTTTGGTTAGTTGATTTTACATGTCAATACTTTTTGCATTATTTAATGTTGAATTATTTTTTTTCTTGCTAACCATTGGCCCACACTAAGATATTGGCTGTGATCAAATTGTGCTAAACTTTTTATTAAACAGCCGAAATGTTTTTACCCAAGACTATAATGCAAAGAAAATATTTCCATTGTACAATGTCTGTATACTATGAGATTTGTTAGTAGGATCCAGAATTATTGGTTTTATCATAAAGAATAGTGGTTAGTTTTGTTAACAATAGTGAAATAAATAAATAAATATATATATATATGTGTGTGTGTTGTGTGTCAGTTATTTATATTTACTCTTACACTGGTATAACTTTGTTGATCCTTAATGCAAATGTCCTTGTATTGATTTTCTACACAGGTGAATTTTTTTTTTATTGACTTGTAGACTTTTAGTAATGAGGAATTTTTTGAAGTTGGTTATTAGATATTTTATATATAGACTTGAAATTTGAAGCATTTATGTTTGACATGCTATCTATAGTATTAAATAAATTCTTGGGTTTAATGGATGAAGAGTAAATTGTAAATTCCTTTTACAATTTGTTACAAGAAAAGGACTTTACAAATAAATTTAAGTCCAATCAAGAGTATTTGCAAATTATATATAAGTGACTTTACTCTTTGAAGCAATCCATTTTAACTGCATATTTCGTAAGAACAAATTACAGAATCTCAAATGTTTACATAAATTTTCTTTCTATTTGCTGTGAATATGTAAAAGTTGAATTCAGCTCTTTATAGATGAAACTAGAAAACCTAAGCAAATATCTATTGCACTTTTCTCAGGCCTTTGGAATATCCATTTAGTCTGACAACTTCTGTGATGGATGTTGTATGTATTTAGTCCTGTAGATACAGTTAATTTGTCCCATAAGTTGGCTGGTTTTGTTAGTGGTACTGTGGATCAAATTATATACTATGATTTTAGGCTATTTCTATTTCATATTTGCTGATTACTATGGTTATTACCATCAAAGAAAACAAATGACTACTTAAAGCTAAGCTTGCAGCTTCTGAAGTGTTATTTTTTTATTATGAATGTTTTTTTTCTTAATATATACAAATGATCATGTAATTTATTTAAATAAAAGAACTTTAAATGTGTATTAAACTTCTGTTTGTACATGTTTTGTACAAGTATTCTAATAGAATAAAGCTATTAATTTTCATCTGTTCAAATTGAAATATTGCAAAAATTTCTTTTTCACTCTGCTTTAGTTTGGAGACACAGAGACATGGACTGGTATTCATCTATGATATGACGGATTCAAAATATGGCAATTTTGACTACAATCTTAGTATAAAGATACTTAATATGCTCAAGGTGAGCTAATTTTGTAATTTTGTATTTTCTATATTCTTCATTATTTCAGTATGATTACTATTTTAAAAAATATCTAATTTACAGATTAGTACTTTTGATCAAGTAATGAGGAATGTGTGCATTTTGAATGCGATTTTAAATGGCCCTTTTGTGTAAATTTAACTTCAATATATTAGGTTCATAGATAAGTGTAGTTGCTCATAGAAGCAGAAACAAAGAAGTGTGGAGGTTTTAAACATGCTGGACATCTTGGTAAGAAGGGATCCTGTTTGAAGAAGGTTCCAATTTTGGCAATTATTTTTTTGTGTAGGGAATTTAAGAACCATTTCATTTCTTGAAGAGATTTTTTTTTTTTTTTTTGCTTTTGAGATTTTATCAACCTCATTTATCTCTGTTCAAAAATTCATTTTTCATAATAAAAAAGGTTTGTTTTGGAATATGTATGCTGAATTTTTTGGAGATGCAGAATTTATTATTTTGACCATCATAGTCATCTTGGTCACAATGTTCTGTTGCACTCCTTGGCCTTCTTCAGGAGTTTGTACTCTATAATCTTCTTGAATTGAACCCTTTATTCAGTTCACAGGGATAGATTATTCTCAATTTGATTTTTTTTTATGCTTAGGAAATATTTTTTATCAGTTAATACTCACCAGTCATTGAGGATTTTATGTTACTTGTCTGTTTCTTCTACTAAACCAGTCTATGTGAATTTTCAATACTGAGTACAAAAACGGACACATGAAGACAGCTGGAGAATACAGCAGATGAAATGTTGTGAGTATAACAACCAAATTGAGCATGCTGGATTGAACAGTAAAGCATAAAAGTGACATTCTGTTTATTAAATATTGATAAAGTTTCTCGTTAGAAGAGAAATGTGTTAGTTAAACAGGGCATAACTTTTAAACTGGTATTAATGAGACATAACTAGACACCATTATTTTGCACAAATTTGAAATTTAGCATCTCATTAAGGTTTACTCAAGCTATTAGATTTGAAAAATTGAATGTTTATTTTAAAAATTTGTTTTTAAAAAAATAAATGAAAGCCAGCCAAAGTGACAATGAAATTATCCCAAGAATTGTAAGACGATGTCTTCATCTCAAAAGTTGTTATGGCAGATAGAACAAAACCACTTCTTAAAGCAGTCAAAATATAATAGAGAAATTAGTAGGTAATTGAGATGGTGGACAGACCCTTCATACATTGGAAGTTAGCTTTTCTGACATGCCTTCATTTGTTTATTGGATGAGTATGGATTTGGATATTGCATCATCAAGAATTTTGTTTAAAATGCTTGTAGCTCACTATGAAACATGGCATATTTTTAGTCATGATGTTGGAAATAACTGATATATTAATTATATAATGGAATCTCAATTTTTAAAATTTTGCTTCTGAAGTTTTTCTTTTCTTTTAATCTTTCCTTTTAATTTTCCATGTTTTGGTTATATCTAATTTTATAGCATATAATTTAGCTGTCCCTAGAGTTTGTACTGCATCAATTTAGACCTATTACTTTTAGTCTCAAGAAGGTTACCAGCAGTCTTCCTGCATACAGTAATTATTTACTCTGAAATTAATGCTACATTCTTTTGAAAAAATATTCCTTATGTTATTTTTATTTTCTTATTAGGTGGCATCATCATCATCATTATATAAAACCTCCAATATTCTCACTTTGCACTAATTCATTATCTCTTACTACTCTTCCTCTCATATAATGATGAACTAAAGATATTTAATTATGCTTAAATTATGTTACCTTTGTCTTATTTTTAATGGTTTCTTGACATGTGGGAAAATTGTTTTTTCTTTTTTGTTAAAGACAAGAATTTCTTGAACCTCCAAAAGCAAAGAAAACACAAGTTTCTTGGTATAAGCTTCATCTTCTTTCAGTGTGACAACTAATATAAGAAAAGTAAGATTTCTATGATTATTTAAAACGCATTGTATCTTGACACTTTTCACAGAAAGAGAAAAACCTCTGAGAAGCACACGAATGTAAACGCATGAAAAAGTATAAAAAGCAGGCCGCTCATGGATGAATATCTTATAAAAACAGTGTACTCATACCCAATTCATGTTTGTGAAGGTTTTTTTTTTAAATCTAATAGTTTTATATATGGCATGAATTTATGGCAAAGCAAAAAAGCCCCCACTGTAAAAAAATTAATAAGAGTACCAGTATAAATGGTTTATAACTAGATTTAAGGTGAAATATTGAACAAAATCATTTAGAATCCACAAAAATCAAATGTCATGATTTCATTTTAGTTGGCATACCATGGAAATTAGGGATAACTCACACAAGCAAGTTACCATTTCTAAAAAGTATATTAGGAAAACTTCTGCCAATATCAGTATAGAGTATATTCACTGTTGATAATAATCAGCAGCAGCCAGACATGATCAGTGCTTGCACATAGCCTTTTCTGCTATCACTTATTCAATTACCTAACTGTTCAAAAATGATTAACCTTGGAATACTAAAGACATAGTTGTTTATGGTCAAGACAATGATTTTGTTTGTACCAAAAAAGGAAAATTCTTCTGTCACTTTTTTATGCATATGACTAAATAAAGAATTCCCACACACTTGAAAAAGTCCAATAAAAATCCATAACTGTCACTAAGTTGATGATAGACCTGGAGGAATCCTACAAGAAGTACTAAAGTTAACAAGCTTACCACAAATTTCACATTGAAATTATTAACATTTCTAAATAAAAAAATAACATATGACAAAACTTGTAATAATTTTTTTATTTGCCTAAATGAAACTTTAAAACAGTATAATTTAATTTTTGGGTGCTTGCCATTTTGTAATATGTTAGAATAAAGAATTATGCATTACTTGAAAATGCCGAACTGAGTAAACTTAGGTACCTCCACGAAATCGCTAAAAAAAGAGCATAGCTTGATGAAAAAGACGCCAACCTTGCCGAAAACTAAATTTTATTGTCTAAATGCTTATGTTATTATTAAGAGGAAAGACCAAAGTTTTTTTTTTATTATTTTAAAAATTTTCCTTCTTTTTTTAACATTCTAAATTTTGATTAAAAAAAACCTTTTTTCTATTTGTATCAGCGGAACTAGTAAATAACATAGACAATTTTTAGCACGTTTTTTTGGTATGACACACATTAATTTTGAAAAATCGTGCAAAAATAGAAATAATTATCGGATGTTAATGAAACTTTCAGGAACTATTCACAGATGATCGAAATTATTATAAATATTTTTTTTTATGAAAGTCATGGTAGAAATATTTTTAAAAATATTTATTACCCCCATAACTAATTTTATGAAAATGCTAGAAATTGATCGCGATCGGTTTTAGTGATTACAATAATTTAAAAGCACAGGGCTTTGAGGAATGCAAATCATGTTTTTTTTTTTTAATTGGATCCGCAGTACCTGAAAATCAGCTCTGAATTGTAACATACAAAACTTAATAAAACAAAGATATTATTTAATTTCAAATGCTTTTATTTGCTTTTAGTTGTTTTTATGAATATGGACAATATTTTCTGAAAGCAAAAAAATTTTTTCAATGAAAAATGAATTTTTAATACAATTATTTGTTATTTCATTAATTATAATAGATTTTACATTTAAGTTGTTAAAATATTATAAAATTAGTTAAAAGTCAGATCGGCTTTCATAAGTGTCCTTATGAGATAGATCTTTTTTTAGCGCATTGTAAATTGTATCATTTTGACTAATCAGAAGATCCCCAGTAATTAAGAAATGTAATTTTGTGCTTATAATCGAGCTGTAATTATAAAATACGGAAGACCAACCAGAATATAATTAAGTTGCGTTATTTGAGTTAAGCATTGTTCTCCGCTGTTAAGGCCTTTACTTTTGCAAAACACGTGTGGAGAAGTTAATTTGATTTTTCAATTTCAACTGAGAAGGGTACCTACAAGTATCAGTATCATCTTATGAAATTTATATGATCTTATTTTTATATTAATCTCAGTTACGACATTTTTCCATAAATGAAATATCAAAATTAATAATAAAATGAATGCAAATACAAATAACAGTAAAATGTAATAAATGTACATAAAATTATAGTATTTTATGTACAATTCTGATAAAATTTCATAAGAAAGGTACCTATAAATTAATTAGATACCTTTCTTAAGAAATATGAAATTTAATGTCACTCTTAACAGTTTTATTTTAATTTCTTTAGAATATATTTCCCATAAAGCATCATAAACGTAAGGTGAAAGCTAAGTACAAAAAAAAAAAAAAAAAAAAAAAAGACCGCTGAAAGTTTTAAAAAAATAACTGGGTAAATAATTTGTTCACGTAAATGTAAATTATTTCACTTTTCTCCTTCCGTAGAACAAATTAGTCTCATGGAATTCAGTAAATATATCATTCATCACATGTCAAGAGACGTGAAAGTTTATGACCTGCTTTGTTTTATTTTCAAATTACATCTTTTTTGGCACAAAAAGCTAAGTTAAGTTTGGTTCAAAATATTTTAAATAAACATTATAATTTCTGATTTTCTTAAAATAAGTTTTGAAAAATGATAATTGATATTTAAAAAAATTTCAAAGTCAGATTTCCAGTTTTTTTTTTAAATGGAAAAAAATGGTCAATTTTGCTGACTCAAAAAAAAAAAACTATTTTTAACAAAAATTTGGACGAACGATTAAAAAATGGAAAAAAATACCCCAAAATACTTTGACCTTTCCTCTTAATAATAACAAACATTTAGATGATAAAATTTTGTTTTCGTCAAGTTTACGCGTCTTTTTTTCATGCTATGCTCTTTTTTTTTAGCGATCTCGTGGAGGTACCTAAGTAAAAAGGTAAAAAATTATTAGGCCTAACCATTAAATCTTTAAATCAGGCAATGCATTTAATGTTTTTTTTAAGCAGATGAAAACAAGTTGACAGCATTTAGTGAAATCTATAAATACACTAATATTTCATAAACATGAAAAAAAGTTCATTTAGAATAAATAAA